ACTTAGATATCCTAAATAAGCAAACATAGCCACATGCAGAATGTTTTCAAAGAGTTAATGACTGTGCTGAAAACTACTTACAATACAATGTTAATTTTAAAACATAGGTTCAACAATATAAAGAAATAAGGTAGAAAAAAGACCGGAAGTAAACATGCCAAGATGTTGGTTAGCAGTGATTGTCTCTGGATCCTAAGATTTTCCATTCTGGGGGAGGGGGAGTGTATTTCTTTATGCTTTTTGATACACTGTAAATGTCAATAATCCACAATAACTTCATAATCAGAAAAGAGTAAAGTATGTAATGTTAAAAAAAATGAAAACTTCAGGGCGCCTGGCTGTTTCAGTTGGTGGAGCATGTGACTCTTGATCTTGAGGTTGTGGGTTCAAGCCCCATGTTGGGCATACAGATTACTTAAAAATAAAAACAACAGGGGCGCTTGGGTGGCTTAGTGGTTGAGCCTCTGCCTTCGGCTCAGGTCATGATCTCGGTGTCCTGGGATCGAGCCCTGCATCAGGCTCTCTCTGCTCGGCGGGAAGCCTGCTTCCTCCTCTCTCTCTCTCTGCCTACCTGTGATTTCTGTCTGTCAAATAAATAAATAAAAACAACAGGGGCACCTGGGTGGCTCCGTCAGTTAAGCGTCTGCCTTCTGCTCAGGTCATGATCTCAGGGTCCTGGGATTGAGCCCCCCATCGGGCTTCCTGCTCAGTGGGGAGCCTGCTTCTCCCTCTCCTTCTGCCCCTCCCCATTGCTTGTGCTCTTGCTCACACACTCTCTTTCAAATGAATAAATTTTTAAAAATCTAAAAAAAAATTAAATAAATAAATGAAAACTTCAAGGAGTAACAACAGCTAAAAACTTAAATATCTAGGATAATATTAACTAAGAGAGCTGAAATACCATCATACTGACTTTGACATTATAATACACCATTTATTCTCAAAACAATAGCCAGATTATCCTTTAAAAAGAGGTAGGGGAGGGGCACCTGGGTGGCTCAGTGGGTTAAGCCTCTGCCTTCCGCTCCGGTCATGATCTCGGGGTCCTGGGATTGAGTCCCACATCGGGCTCTCTGCTCTGTGGTGAGCCTGCTTCCTCCTCTCTCTCTCTCTGCTTGCCTCTCTGCCCACTTGTGATCTCTGTCAAATAAATAAAATCTTAAAAAAAAAAAAAAAAAAAAAAGAGGTAGGGGAGGGGCGCCTGGGTGGCTCAGTGTGTTAAAGCCTCTGCCTTCAGCTCAGGTCATGATCTCAGGGTCCTGGGATCAAGTCCCGCATCGGGCTCTCTGCTCGACGGGGAGCCTGCTTCCTCCTCTCTCTCTGCCTGCCTCTCTGCCTACTTGTGATCTCTGTGTGTGAAATAAATTTTAAAATCTTAAAAAAAAAAAAAAAAAGTAGGGGAGGGGCGCCTGGGTGGCTCAGTGGGTTAAAGCCTCTGCCTTCGGCTTGGGTCATGATCTCAGGGTCCTAGGATCAAGCCCTGCATCGGGCTCTCTGCTCGACGGGGAGCCTGCTTCCTCTCCCTCTGCCTGCCTCTCTGCCTACTTGTGATCTCTGTCAAATAAATAAATAAAATCTAAAAAAAAAAAAAAAAGAGGTAGGGAATTCAGGTCATGTCTCTACTCTGTTAAAGACCCTCCAAGTGCTCCCCCTTCCACTCCGAGCAAAAGCCAAAGTCTTTACACCGGTCTACAAGGACCAACATGCTCTGACTCCCTGCCACATCTCTGACCACATCTTCCAGTCACGCTGGCTTCCTTGCTGTTCCTCAAGCCTACCAAGGACTGCCTGCCTCAGGGCCTTTGCACTCACTATACCCTCCACTTGGAATACTTTCCAATCACAGAACAACATAGTGTGCTCAAATGCCATCTCATCCATGAGCCCTTCCCTGACCGCCACATAAAACACAGCAGCTACCTGCCACATTCCCAGCACCCTCCCCCCTTTACCCTGAGCACCTTGTCACCATCTGTGACATGGCAGGATTTATGATGTTGGTGGTCTCCCTCTCCCACGAGAGGAGCTACTTTGCCTAGCACATAGAAGATGCTTGGTAAATACATGTTGGATGCTCAAATGGATAAACGCATTAAACTGGGGCTGAAGTTCACATTGGTGGGGCTGAAGTACACAGAGCAGGCAGCAACACCAACCTGAAAGCACCCGGGACCTTTAACCAGCACCCAGGAAAAAAATCTGGACAATTACAGCCAGAGAGGACAAGGAGGGACATGTCAAAAGGAGAGGCAGATCTGAGCATCTGGACACAAAAATATGAGTCTCTACCAGAAAATTCAGGTTCTCCCATCAGGATGTAGCTTCTGCCGCAGGACAGAACGCCACGTTTTTATCACAGGCTCAGAACCAGCTCTAAGTGGCACTTAAAATGACATTTTAAATGCTTTCTATTTAACTATCTCTTTGTTGTGATTAGATAATTTTTTCTAAGACAAAAAGGCATGAGGAAACCAATTACTCTGTCACTCTCCCACCCCCAAAGCAGCCCCTAGATACAGCCTCCACGGGCACGCAGCCTTCAAGACCTGCGTACCGTCTGTTGCGGCCCAGCCACACCCCCTAACTGGCTGCGGTATGCCAGGTGCCACAGAGAGGGAACGGAGGAGCACTCCTGATCTTGCTAAGTTGTATCGGCCTCTAGAAGTTCAAGGACAAACTGATAGCACACTGCACAGCCTCATATTCTTTGCCTTAGAAGAGATAAGAAAATTCATCCTAAGCTATTTTGGACTTTTCTGGGCTCTGGAGATTAGGAGGGGCCGGTGGTGGGCCCTGCACGAGGCAGCTCAGGACAGTTGGGGGGGTGGTAGCGTAAGGGTGACCTGAGGGGGTGCTGGCCAGGGGCAGCTGCCTCCGGACTGCTCCACTAAATCATTACATTTGCTGAGTTCATCCTCCACCTCCTTTTCCCTGGCAGCTCCTTCCTCTCTGTCCTCCCACAGCTTGGGGGTGACTGTCATTTCATCCTGCTAAGTGTCTGCCACAAGATACTCTTTGAAGGAATTTCCTCTCTTGTGGCAGTGGATATCCCTGCCTCTTAAAAGGGAACCCTGAAGCCCAGAAAGACCTCAGGTTCAAAGTGGGGATTTCTGCCTGGGTGAGAGGGAGGCCTCTGATATTATGAAGTTCCTGTTCAAGACAGACATTTATGTGCCTTTTGTACACTTTAATGACCTTGTTCGATTCCCACAGCACCTCTGGTGCTTTCACCCTGCAATGGATGAGAAATCAGGGAACTCCAGGCAAGACAGAATGATAGTTCATACTCTGAGGACCTTCCTTGTTCCAAAAACACAGCAGGGACTGATAAGAATATTCTAAAAACAACAAGAAAAGTTATCTGTGTTTAAAAATAAGATATATTCTCTATATCTATCTCAATGGATTAGAGACTCCAAACAGTTACTATTTTGAGGGGCTGAAGGCACAGCCTACTGAGCTCTGAGTCCAGAAGCAGGTGGAGGGAGGCAGCTGGGAGCTTAGCCTTCCAGGCCATAGGGACTAAAAGTGCCACCTGGGAGGTGGAGCACCAGAACCAGAGCCACTGAAAATGGGAGCTGGTGAAGGGATTTCCCACCGGGGGAAGGAGGCTGAAAAGAGCACAGACGTCCGCCCTGCCCAAGTCAGTGATGATCAACTCTGGGCATAATCCCCATTGTCACTGTGGACAATCACTAACCCAAGACACATGGCTTTGCACTTGGGGGTGGGGGGGCGAGGGGGGACCCAGGCCCTGGGTGGAGGAAACGCAAGACCCCTCGGCAGGAGATCTGGCTGGAGGTGGTGGGGCAGGGAGACAGACTGACTCCCACTCAAGCTGAGCATACAGACCCAAATTCCAAGACACCTGAGGAAAGCTGACGCTAAGAAAGACAAAGGACAAAACCAACAGTTGGGAGACGGTCCCAAGCTTTAATGAACTAAAGACTACCCAGTACTAACGACTCTCCCCAGAAAGTATCCAGAAAGACAAAGGAAGAAACAAGAAAGAGCAGTTCGGAGCCCCTGGAGGATGGATTGAGGTTTGGCAATGGATCCAAGGGGATTTCCAGGAGAGGAGACATGCGTTAGCAGGAGGGCAATATTCAAGGACAGCACAGCTGAAAATTTCCCACAACTGAAGACCTTTTATGGATCCTCCGATTAAAAGCCCGTATCAGTTGCCAAGCAAGGTAAGTAAAAAAATAAACCCACACCTGGAAAACCAGGGGTATGCTGCATTGTGCCCAGCTCATTCTGTTAGCAGATCCCTGCCCCGTGACCCTCCACGGAGAGAAGCTTCGTGCTGACATCCTCTGTTTCAGCCCCGACCCTGGTACAGTGGAGGGAGCCCTGGGTTTGGGGTTAGGAGACACAGTTCGAGCCCCCCATCTGTGATTGCCTCAGAGAACTCACTGAGCCTTGATTTCTTCTCCTTAAATGGGGTCAGAACTAGAAATATGGAAGCTTCGTGCCAGAAGGGACTCTGGGGTGGTATCATCACGGCAGACCACGGCTGTGTTGGGTTTCCAGTTCTCCCACCAGCTAGTGTGCCTGTAAGTTACTTGTGTCTCCATTGCTCCACCAGTAAAAGGGGATAATCATAGCAACCGCCCGTGGGGTGGTGTCAGAATGGAAAGAATCTATCTATATAAAGAACTTGATGCAGTGCCGGGTGCATAGTTAACAGCCTAGGATAGCCATTGCTGTTACTGTAATAAGAGCCTCGCCCAAAATGCTATACGCACCTGTGCTCAGTGTGAGGGACTTCCCACCGAAACCACGGGGCCCAGGCACAGCAGAACCAGGGCCCCCTGCCCCCTCTGCACGCGGAACAGGCAAGCAGACTAACCCTCCCCACCCTTCTTCCTGGCCATCCTCAGTGGTCCCACCTGGCCTCTAGAGAAGGCCCTCCCAGAGACCAACCATGGATTTCCCCAACTGCAAGTGTGCTTGGACCCACCCCAGCCCACCCCCACCTGTTGCGCTGGGCATCCTACCTCTCTCTGCTCGCTGCAGATCTTACACAGCCAAAGAGGCCGCTTCTGGCCAGGGGAGGCCTCGATCCCACATTTGGTGCAGACTTTCTACAAGAGAGAGGACACAGGAATGTAAGCACTTCAGCTACTTCCTCCTTGGTTGAGGGGCTGAGAAACTGACCAAGGAACCCATTGGCATCTTCCAAGGGGATGGTGTGAGACTCAGACCAGCAGGGTACATAACTCAAAGGGCACAGATCACCTAAAACCCATAGCCGGCTTTAGCGCACGACAGGGGTACCCATCCGTGGATCGCCACGACGTAAATTCCCCACCACGCCCCCACTGCATTCTGTTAGGGTCCCATAAAAAAGGAAGTTGGCTGATATTCATGGCTTATCATTTTCCACAGTAAAGAGCTGGAAGCAACCCAAACCCCTGATACCAGGGGAAGATCCAGGCCAGCAGAACGGAATACGATGTGGCCTTGACTTAGCAGATTATGTCGCTACCTGGTAACAAGAGCAGCAAATGATACTGTTCAACAACGAACACACACATTTGTATACAACTGCACAAAGACCTCACATGCGTGCCTGACGAGGTGAGAGAATGATCTGGGGAGAAACACCGGTGGCAGGTTTATGCCACACTGCCCACGGGATGATTCCAGGAGCCCTGCTATGTAAGTAGGAGGCCCGTTTCACAGGCAAGCAACCCGGGGGTCAGAGTACTTGGAAAATTTGCCCAAGTTCACGCAGCAGGTGAGTGATAGCCTCAGGTCCGACTCTAGAGCCTTATATAATTTTCTCCAGACGCCTAAGTAGCCCGAACCTAGCTTCCTTAGTGTTTTTCCTTTTACAGTGTTGCTGAAGTTCATGACTTGTGCATCCACGTCTCGCTTCTCTGAAACACACAGCAGCAAGCAGCAAGCGGGGTTGGGCAAGGCCAGATGAAATTCACAGGGAGGGAGGGGGGACTTTGTGGGGCTGGGCCCTGTTTCCAGCTAACCCAGGCACAGTATGACTCAGCGGCCACGTGTCCTCCTCAGAGAGCTGCCCCACCTGCTAATCCATCTTCCTACCCCCATGGAAGCCACCCTGTCCCTGCCAGGCTGGGGGCTCTCTCCTGCCTCCCGCCACCCAGGGAAGGTGAGATCTGTAGCTTGGCCTTTTCTGCAGGCTGCCAACTGAGGAAGGAACACACTCTCCTCAGAGAGGGAAATGTCACCGACTTGGCTTCCCAGAGCATGTCGTCACCGCCTGATCAGGTGGATGAGCCCAGCACCGCGGGAGGTGGGAGCCAGCTCTCGGCAGAAGGAAAGCTTGGATACATGGGGGGGGTGGGGGGGGGGGGGGTGGTAAGACATTTGCTACCATTCAACACTCAGGTATGAGAAGTGCCACATCCATTTCTCCAAATAAAATGCAACCTGCTTCAAGCTTTCGTCTGTCTGGGCCGGAAGAAAGTCCATCCCAGTCACAGCTGGGGCCCCTGGGCAGCTCCTGTGAAGGCCCTGAGCTGGGGGTCTCTGGAGGTGCAGTCCATCTGGGAAGGGGTCAGTGAGTGCTGTCTGGGGTGCCCACTACTCTGCTGTTTTCCCTCTGAGCAACTGTGGTCCCTCGGAGGGGGATGGAGGCCCGGCCACTTTCATACCAGGCCTGGGTTTGGGCTGTGTGACAGGCTGGGGCTGAGCATCACTGGGGGCCAGTGGCCTGTCTCCCAGAAGGCCCGAGCTGCCTCTCCTGACCTGGTCTGGGGACTCCCCCTACCCTTCCCAGCAACCGTTCTACCCCAAGGACAGGGGCCCCCATAAGCCCACAAGATCGGCCTCGGAAAAGCACAACACGGGCCTTTCCTGTTGGGGGTAAAGAGAGAAGAAGGAAACCCTGAAGCCAGTTGGCTGTTTCTTTTTTTCTTTTTAATATTTTTATTTATTTATTTGACAGACAGAGATCACAAGTAGGCAGAGAGGCAGGCAGAGAGAGAGAGGAGGAAGCAGGCTCCCTGCTTGAGCAGAGAGTCCAATGCGGGGCTCAATCCCAGGACCCTGAGATCATGACCTGAGCCGAAGGCAGAGGCTTTAACCCACTGAGCCACCTAGGCGCCCCGAGTTGGCTGTTTTCCTTGCTGTTTCCCACCATCCCAAATGAATGGCACATGTGTGAGAGTAAGTGAGGCCCTCCCAGCGTGGCGCGATTTTCCTACTGCTTAGCAGGTAGGATGACAGCTCGCCCTCTAAGCTCACCCTGCCCCTCCCAGTGAGATGAACATGTGAGGAATAACGAGAGGAGAGAGGGCCAGTTACTACCATTTACTGACAATGGCAGGCGCCACGCACTAGGGCCCTGGTGACAAAGTATGAACAAGGGGAGTGTCATGCTCTCCATTATGAGGATGAGAAAACAGGTTCAGAAGTGTTTACGACTGCCCAAGGCCCCCCAGCAAATGGGGGACAGTCAGGATTTAGGAGGCTTCCTTCTTCCACACCCCAGGAAAGCTGGATAACTCCCTCCCCAGCTCAGGTGCCCAGCAGGTGCCCATGGCTCTCCAGGGAGCTGATTCATGTCCCCAGGAGTGTGGCTGATGCCTCTTGACTAGGCAGAGAAGGCAACGCAGGATGACCCTGGGTCAAGGCTCTGCTGGGGATGGGGGAGCAGCCACACTGCTCCCCAGCTGCAGGACACGGGTTCCAGGAGCGAACACTTGGAAGTGAGGCTGGGAGGGTGGGCACACACATTCCCTCAATAAATATCTGGTGGAATGAACATCTGCGCTGCTGGGGTCACTGCAAGAAACCGGGAGAGTGCAGAACGGCCGTGTTGTCTTCTCCCCAGAGACCGTGGGACGCAGACCGCCCAGCCTGGGGACAGGAGTGGTGTGGACCAGCCGCCCTCCAAAAGCTGCATCAAAGGCTGTTAGTTAATTCCCAGGAAGAGGGATGGGTTGCATGTCCCCAGTGTGCCCTCTGCCTCCTGTCCTGTGGGGTGCTGTGGGGGATTGGGGTAGCACAACAGGACACACCCGCCCCAGCCCACGCACAAGCCTGCTTTCAAGTAACAGCCATCACTGGCGGAGAACCCCAGTTCTCGCCACCTCTGCCATCTTCATGGGTCTGCAGCATCCCTGGCTGGGGAATTTGGGCCAGCAAAAAGATAACATGCTTCTGTTCAAATAATACACAATGGCTGCTCTATTAAATCTTGGATCAATAAGAGAATAATGAGCCTTTTCTCCTTATCGGTTTGGTCTTTGCTCCAAGGTTCCAATAAAGAAAATTAGGCAGGTGGCATTTTAAAAAGCCCAGGACAGAGAGGACAAGGCAGCCATGATATCGACTCGGTGCAAAGGAAACACTGCACCATTATGTCAGGGGCAGTGTCGGGGGGAGGGGCCTGGGGTGGTCCCTTACTTCCTGCCTGAGATGGGTTTCCACAGAGTGGAACTGCCCAGGGGGAGCGAGCTCCAGCTTGCGGGCCGTGGCTCTCTGTCACTTCCTGCAGCTGCAACCATGTGGGCGTTAAACAGTACAAGTCTAGCTCCTGGGTCAGCCTCGGAGTAGAACCAACAAAGCTCCAGGCCTTCAGCCTGCACGTGCTCTCTCTTCTTTCCCTCCACGTCCCTTCTGCAAATATGTATTGCAGCTCAGAGGGGGTGGCTCATGCCGCAGGACACAGGCTTTGGGGCAGGAAAGTACAATCTGCCATATAGATGCAAACTTGGACTTGTTTCTGAGCCGCACTTCTTTGCCCGTAAAACAGTGGTAACTGGCAGACTCCCACTGTTGGAAGGATCGAGGAGATGATTCATGAAAGTGCTTAGCGTACTATGTGGTAAAGAGCAGCAACAACCACAGTTCTTCCCCGCACACCTGTCTCAGCGAAGGATGCCAGTACCCATCAGTCACACAGGCCCAAACCTAGAAATGTCCTTGGTCCTCACCCTCCCTCATTCCCACCAAATAATCCATCGCTGAGAACTCTACATCTCCCTTGGCACAGTCACTTCCCCTTCATTGTGAGCCGCCCCCCCCCCACCCCAGTCCACACTGCAGCCATCACCAGTGCCCCTGCCTATACCGTGGCCTCCCAGCACATCTCCTCACCCCCACTGTGGCCAGCCTCCAGTTGCTTCCGGCATAGCAGCAGGAGTGATCTTTTCAAGATGCAAATCTAATCATGTCATTTCTCCTGTCCCTGCCAGCTTAAAAACCTCCAGAGACTTCCTGTTGTTCTCTGGATGGAGGCCACCTGCTCTTACATGGTGTGCCATGCATGCCCGGGTTGGACCCTCCTCGTCTGCCTTAGTTCACACCCTTCTCCCCGGCTTTACCACCTTGCTCTCCACGCTCTGAGACCTAGCCATGTGGGCTTGCCTTCAGGCTCTGGTCTTCACTTGCTTCTTCCACCACAGGACCTTTGCATATGCTGCTCCCTCTGTCTGGGATATACTTGGTCATGCTCTCTCATTGTTAACCTATGCTCCTTCAGACCTCAGCAAAAAGCACCACTTCTTCAAGGAAGCCTTCCCTGACTTCGTACTTCAGTGGAGCTTCTGTAACTTTCTCTTTCCTGTTTTCCTCCACTGTCAGGTCAAGATTTTTACCCTCAGGTATGGTGACTATCATTGCCTCTACTAGGCTGTCAGAGGCCATGTCTATTTCTGTTCACTTTCCTGTTTCCGGTGACCAGCACAATGAATACTTGTGGAATGCATGAACAAATAAACAGGAGATACTTTTAGTATTATCATTGAGAAAGCAAGACATAGCCCTTCATAGAACATGCCGAACTGCTGGGGAGCCGAGAGACCCAGAGACAGGAAACAGTCTGCAGCACAGGCCCGGGTGCGCTCCCACCCACACCATGTGGTGCTCACGAGCAGGACAGCAGGAGAGCCCTGACAGGGGACTGAGTGTCTGCAGTGGCAGGATGGCTGGCTGGGTGGGCCTCTCTCTCAGGGCATGGGGCAGGAATTCAGCCAGACTGGCCCAGTCCCAGAGGAAATGACACTGAGCGTCCTTTGTAAAGGATGTGGGGGTATGGGGGAGAGGAGGGATATGTTCCCTGCCCTCCCCGTGACCGCTCCTGCATGCCCAGGGGTACATC